CTTACAGTTGCTTTCAGTCCTTCACGCTGAAAACCCGCAGCAGGTAATCCAGCAGTGAGCTGGGCTCGGTGGCAGGTCAGAAGCATCTTCTGAGCACGGGCCCGTGGGGGGCAGGGCACAGGGCACCGGCCAAGCTGCAGCCACGCTGCACCTTCCTCCCACCTTATTTCCCCTCATCTTGGACCAGAAGGAAAATGAAACAACTTAGAAACAGCACACTGGGAGTTTCCCAGCCGTGGGGAGCTTGGGGCCAACCTGGCCAGCTCAGGCCAGGCCTGGGAGGTGGGTTGTGTTCTATTTTTGGCTGGCCGCCCCCAGGCCCTGGAACCAGTCGAGAGGGGTTTTTATTGGCTTCACCTTTCACTGTGAACATTTCCACATCTACAAAATTGACACACGGTATCATGAACCCGCCAGCCTCTGCAGTTGTCACCTCCTGTGCTTGTACATCGACACCCCTGCTCCCATCTTCTGCTGCCACTCTAGCTTCCCAGAGTTTTTAGGTTAAAATTTCCATACACTCAATGTGCAAACTTAGCAGATTTTGACAGTGGTGAGTCCATGTGTGAACACCCTGTCACCATGGAGAATGTGTCCCTCTAACACTCTGGAAAGTTCCGGACAGAGCCAGCCCCTCTCCCAGCATGTTACGACGCCATTCCACTGCACTCTTGACACTAAGCAGAAATCTCTCATCACCCGTGCCACTGTTCCCCGACCATGGTGGCAGTTTCCTTCTGACTTCTTTCAGGATTGTCTCTCCATTATTATTTTTTATTTTAGCTGTTTAGCCATGAGACACCTAAGTTGGTTTTGTTTTTGAACCTTCTCAGGGTGTTCAAGCTTCTTGGAGATTCAAGTTGATGTCTTTCACCAAATTTAAGAGCTATTTGGCCATTACTCTGTGTGTGTGTGTGTGTGTGTGTGTGTGTACTCATTCTCTCCTTTTCTTTGGAACTCCAGTTTCATATATATAAAGCTGTTTTTTCATTTTTCCCTCTTTGTTCTTCAGGTTGGGTAAGTTCTACTGATCTGCCTTCACATTCACCAGCTCTTCCTTCCACTATCTCTAGTCAGCTGTTAAACCTCTGGTGAGATTTTCATTTCCGTCACTGTACTGTTCACCCTGCAATTTCTGCTTGGTTCTTTTTTATAGTTTCTCTTCTTCAATTTATATTCCCATATGTTCATTCATAGTTCATAAAACTTCCTTTAAATTCTTGAGTTTATTTTTAGCATCTATTTTACCTATATCACCCAGATAATCTTGGCTTGATTCCAGTTAACTTTTTTCCTTGATTATGGGTGGGTCACAACTTCCTACTTCTTGTCATAGCTCATGGTCTTTATTGGGTTCATCAATAATTCAGTTTAGGGGCCTCCCTAGTGGGCTAAAGACATAGGGCTATCGAGCTAACACCAGCCACTGCAACAGGCGTTCCATCCCCAGCCAGGGTGTGACCTTCAAGGCACAGCAGACCTCTCCTGACCCACCTGCTGCTCCCCTCAGCAGTGTATCTCAGTAGATCTGCCTGTTTTGCTCCCTACTATGTCTCCAGTGAATCCTCACCCTTTATCCTCTATCCCCTCATCCTCTATCCCATACCACTGGCCCACACCTTAGTTCTTACGTGCTTAAAAAAAATAGTTCAGTGTCAGATGTCATACTAGGGGTTACTAAAATATTCATTCACTTGATGAATAAGCACCAGCCGCCCGAGCTGGGCATGCCACACAGAACTGCGCTGAAATTGTCTGCTGGGCGCCCGTGTCCTACTGTGCACCTCATCATCTTACCCCTCTCTGGGTTTTCTGAGGCTGCCATTCAAAGTTTAATGTTTGTTTTAAGCCACATTAAAACAGGAGACTAACAGGAAAGACATAAATCTTTCCTCTCACAGTTCTATAGTCTAGAAAGTGTCCATGGGACCATGTTCTCTCAAGGGTGGACCCCTTCCTCTCCTGGGCTCTGGTGGTCCCAGCAATCCATGGTGGCCTTTGGTTTGTAATTGTATCCTCCATTCTCTGCCACCGTCTTCTCACAGCCTTCTTTCCTGTGTGTTTTCTTTCCTGCCTCCTGTCAGAACACCACCACCAGATTTAGGGCCGGTGTACCTCGTCTCCACTCTTTCCTTGGTATACATCTACTAAGACCTCATTTCCAGATAAGGTCATGTTCCAAAATTCCAGGTGGGTGTGAATCTGGAGGCAGGCGCTGTGCAGTCGACTGCAGGTCCCCAAGCGATCTGTCCATTGTGCCATAACTGAAGGGCGATGCCTGGGCTCTGGGGTTGCAGTAGCTGGTGAATACGTGTCATTGGTGGTGTCATATGCTTCAGGCACACTACTGCTTTTCTTCAGACCATTTCCTTTTCCATTTTATTCCATTTGATCATTCTGTCTTTCCACGTTAGAGCTCTATCTTGCAGTTTGAGTCACTCTCTGTGGCCCCACCGGTCATGTCGTGTTGGTGAGATGAGACCACAAGATCTGTGCACTTTGGGGCTGCGACCTCAAGGTTTGAATGCAGTGGGGTTTTTCTACCCACCTCTAAGTATCAGTTTATCAAACCCAAATTATATGAACCAAGTTGCAACAACTACAGATCAAATCTGGTCCTGTTTTTTGTTAATAACGTTTTGTCAGAACACAACCAGGATTATTTTCAGGTGTTGGCAGTGACTTCGTCACACAATCTAGTACTTGCAGTGTGACCAGATGGGCCAAAAAGTCTCCGGTCCTTTACAGAGAGGTTTCGTGGAGCCTTGGGCTAAAATTGGGAACCAGTGTCGTAACTACAGACAGTGCCTATCAACAGTGTGTTAAACGAAGGAACACATTAACATGAACATGGTGACATGAACACACTGGATGGTAATCAGTTGCTTGCAAGGGGAAGAGGCTTTGGGCCCACCATCTAGCCCCACTCCTCATGTGCTTTCTGAGCTTAAATAAAACTGAAACTCCAGGGCCCTTCCTGGTGGCGCAACGGGTTAAAGCACAACCCTGCAAAGCAAGAGTCTGATCCCTGCCAGGAGGTGACCCACATAGCCAGCAGACTTCTCCTCAGACCTCTTCTGACCCGCCCGCTGCTCCCCTCAGCAGTGTGCTTCGTCGTCAGTGGGCCCTTTCTGCTCCCCACTCTGTCTCTGGTGAATACGCTCACTGCCCCTGCACCTCTAGCCTGCACCCCAGTTCTGTATGCACAAATAAATAAATATTAAAAAAAAACTTAAGAGAAAAAATTTTTGAGCCTGTGAAACAGTACAGGTCTCAGGGAAGTCTGACTGTTTTTCAGCAGTGGGTCCTTCGCATGAAGAGTTCCGGTCCAATTATTTCCCCTGGGATCACTTGTGTTACCCACTAGATAGGAACAAAGTGCTGTGCAGTGTGCCAATCACTGATTTAAATGTTCAGAGAAAATGTAAATAAAATATCTCAAACAAGCAACTTGCAGCAGAATAATTCCAAAGGTCAGTTAGTTCAGTCTGGAAGGAAGGAAACAGACCGCGGGGATTGCGCAGTCCCCTGCTTTGAGAGCTCAGTAGGGAACCTCCCTGCGTGGCTCTGGGGACATCTAGTGGTGAAACGGAGTCAAGGCACTGACGGACATCAAGGAATTAAATGTTTTAATTAAATAGTAAATATTTAATATTAACAGTGAGATTTAATTTAATCTTTAAATTAAACATTTTATGTTTTATATTCATGATATTAAATAATTAAGATCTGTTTTATTCTAGTACAAAGCTTTTTTAATTAAAAACATTCTGTTACTGAAATAGCGTCGGTGCATAGTATGATATAGGTCTCAGGTATATTTCATTATGAATTAGCATCTTATTGCTACATTATATCAGTTTTTCCTTGAATTAAAAAATTCTTCATTTTCTCCCCACTCTCTCTTCGAGGTGGGAGCTCTTAGAGTGAGAGAGAAATAGATGTGAGAGTTCTGGCACTGTGTCCCGCCAGCCGCTCCAGCCCCCTGGAGACAGGGGCCGGGAGACCCCACTCCTGGAGGTGACCCGCAGAAACCGAGGATGGACAGATGGCCCTGACCCAGTGCCGGCCGCCTCTCTGCAGCTTTCTTCTTTCACGGCTTCTCCAGCACTGTCACTGGGTCGGGGGCTGGTTGCTCCACAGTGAAGACTGTTTACTTCCAGTGTTTGCGTAGAATGACTGTGCCGCCTGCCGCTTTGTGCTGGTGTTTTGTGGAGAGTTTTAAAGCTATCCCTTGGAAAGCTGTATGTTCTCTCTGGCCAGGAAATAAACTTTTATGCTTCCTATGGACAAAGATCTCTAGGAACAGGAAACAGTTTTCACTTGCTGGAATATTCCTGAGGGCTCCTCTCCGGCCCCAGAGGAGATGTCTATTTCCTTACTTCTGCTGATACTTTTCTCTCCCTAGGCTGGCTGTTCTGACCTGGGCGTGATTCTGTCCCTAGCGGACTTGGGCAGTATTGTCAGCACCTGGGGAAAGGGCGCTCCTGGCGTTGAGTGGATGGGGCCAGGGAGGCTCTCCACAGCCCGCCTTGCCCAGGACTCCGCAACGTTAGCAGCGTGGGGTGGGGACCCGCCTACAACACCTGTGCAGCTTGTGCTATGCTAGCTCCGCAAACAGCAGGCGTGCCCGAGGGTCTCGGTTGTTTGACAAATGAGCCAACAGTTGCATAAGCCCTTCAAAGTCACTCAGCCTGATTAGGCTCGAAAAGGGAGACACAGAAGTTCTGGCCTGTCTTTGGGGAACCCCTACGTGGCGCCATGGCACGGCAGGGCTGCCTTCAGGGTTTAGGTTTGGGAAAACATTCCCCTGCCCTCCCCCTCCCTTTCAGTGGCACAGTGGGGCAAACCGTTACCCTGTACTGACCCAGCAGAGCCCAGGTTCCTGTATGTGCCCTGTGAAGGCTGCAGGGAATTACTGTCCCGCTCCCTTGTATGCGTCTGAGGTCGCTTCTTCGGGCTGCTGATTCCACCCGTCCCCTCTCCTCGCCTTTCTTCAGAGCTGAGCATGCAGAATTCGGAGGGCGGCTCGGACTCGCCAGCTTCCGTGGCTCTGTGTCCCTCGGCAGCAGCTCAGGCACCCGTGGCCCAGCCTGTGCCAGCCTCCCCACAGGTAACTCACCGGGCCCCTCCTCACACCGCCTCCCTCAACACCTGGGAAGCAGACCCCCCACCTCCACCACCACCCTCCGGGGCGGGACAGGCCAGGCCTCCCTGCTGGCCCCTCGGGTTTTGAAGCGCTCGAACCAGCAGAGAGCCAGCCTTACTTTCTTGATTGGCCGTCCCGGCCCCAAGGGGCTGCTGTTGGGATGGCCACGCTTTCTGCACCCCGTGTCGCCTCGCTGGGCTTTTCACTATTTGTTAAAGAGGCCCCACCACGGAGTCAATGATACAGACTTAGAAAGCGACCACGTCTCACCCCAGCGTAACGTGCTCTTTTCTACCGTGGAAGCTTCCGTGTACCTTTCACACAGAGACTTTACAGTGAGTCAGAAGCCTTACAGTTTGGTCAAGGTCTCATCTAGCTTTAGAGTGGAAAGAATCTTTAATCATTAAGGCTTCTTCAAGTGGATTTTTCTAGGGACTTACACCACTGAGTGAAATACACCGTGAAATGGACATGAACATCTAGACACAACATAACACTAGACTAACCCGGGGACAGACACACAGACCAGAAGCTCCCAGCTTGTGCAGAGGTCCCAGTGACCATTAGGAACAGGGGTTTTTTGTTGGTTTTTTTTTTTTTAGGACTTATGAAGGTTAGGAAAAACCGCAATTCAAGGCATCAAACGGGAGGGAAGAGTATAAAGGATGGAGCGATAGTTCACAGGTGCCAGGGTGGTGGGAGAGAACCATGGGGACTGCACATGAGGGGAGAAGTCAAATACGGTCCGAAAACAACAAGGTAAGAAAATTAATTAAAAAGGAAAGCCCACAATTGGACGAAACCGAAGACAGACACTGAAGCAGTGCATTCATTTGACACTGCACAGTGGGGCCTGTGAAGCCTTTCTTTCTTGCAAACATGGCAACCCTACGTCCATGCTAAGGTGGCATGGCCAGACACGGGTGCAGCCTAACTGACTTCCCCCTGCTTGCTTGAACCTGACTTGCTAGCCCCCCGCTCCTTGCTCCCCCAGGTCCTTCTCACCAAGCCCCAAGCTCGGGCACCCCTGTGCCAGAATGCCTCTGCCCGCCCTAGCAGCGGGCTGGGCCCTGGGCCCTGGGCCCTGTTCTGGCCACCTTGGCCTTCTAGGGCTGCGGTTCCTCCTGGAGATGCATCCAGCCCCACCCCCCGCCACAGTGGCAGCGTCCCTTCCTGGCGCCCCTCGAGACACTGTCCCCTTGCTGGAAGGAGGAAGCCTTGGGTGTGATCCTGCACTTCTGAGTCACAGCAGGGTTGCGGACTGAAAGGGAGGCGTTGTTCCGGGCTGGGGGGCTGTGATGTGCCCTCCTCCTCCTCCCTCGGTCCTGCACTGTCCAGCAGAAGTTTCCATGGTGGTGAGATTATGAGCCCTGGCAGTGCAGCCGGTAGGCCTGAGGACTTGAATCTTAGCATTTATTTAAATAGAAAAAAATGGAAACGGCCAGTGGCTAGTCACCTGGTTTACTACTAAGACAGCTCAGCTTCAGAGTGCGACTAAATCCTTATTGCTCTAGTGTATTTATATGAGGAGAGTTCACATGAAATAAAATTAACGTTTTAAAGTGTGCAGTTCAGCGGCACGTTACACATAGTGTTGTCCAACCCCCGCCTCTATCCATAACACCCATCACCCCGAAAGGAAGCCCCGTCCCCATCAGCAGTCACTCTGCACCCCTGGCCCCGCAGCTCCACTCTCTGGGGCTGCGCCTGTCCTGGACACTTCTCGTCTGGGGCACACTCCGGTGGCTCTGCGTGCTTGGCTTCTCCCTGAGTGCCGGGTGTTCGAGGCTCAGCGCCCACTTCTCACTCGTCAGCATCTCCCTTCCACGGCCCAGTACCAGCCCACCATGCGGGCAGACCTCACCTTTTTTATCCGTTCATCCTGTTGGTTTTTGTAGCATCTGTGCTCTTTTGTCTTTGGTTGTGAGGGCCTGGAGTCAGGCCCCGCTGGAGTCTCTCTGTACAGAGGTGGTTTTAAGGCAAATCCTGCACACTCACCACAACCAATCATTGAGGGTCCAGAAAAATCAGAATCACAGTCAGTGCCTTCTAAAACCCCAGCCTTAAATAAACAGAAACCTCTCCTGTCCCTCTCTCCCCTCGAGGGCCGACGACGTGAGCTTGTGCATCCTCACAGCATTGTGTGTCTAGTCAGCATTCAGTGCCAAGACCAGACCCACTGCGAAGACTTGAGCCCAGGAGTCCAGCAGTGGGCCCAGGCAGGGGACCTGGACCTGAGTCTTGGTTCTAGAATTTGTATTGTGAGGCCCTGGGCCTTTACTGGGCCACTCACATATCCCTTGTGTGGGAAGTGGAGGCAAGCCCAGAGCTCTCCAGAGGGAGATGCACACATGAGCGCCCCCCAGCCCTTTCTTGCCAGCCCACTGAGTCTTCAGTAAATGCCATGGGTGAGCCACTCAGGTGCTCGGGGTGGGATCTGTGTTCACTTGAGTCCTAATCTCTGAAAATCTAACCTCCTCCTCTGCTTCCCTTTTAGAGAGTGCTGGTCCAGGCAGCGGGGTCGGCTCCCAAAGGGGCCCAGATGCAGCCCGTCTCCCTCCCCAGAGTCCAGCAGGTGCCACAGCAGGTAACAGCACAGGTGATGGGACCCTAAAGACACCCTTTTCTGTGTCGCTGCTCCCTTCTTGAGTCTTATCTTCTGTGCCTTACCAGAAGGTTTTCTTGGAAGCTATATCTATTTATTTATTTATTTTAAAGACTTATTATGCCTACGGAGCTGGGGTGCAGGCCAGAGGTGCAAGGAGGGTGAGAGGATCCACCAGAGACAGAGTGGGGAGCAGGACAGGCCGAATGATGAAGAACACTGCTGAGGGGAGCAGCGGGTGGGTCAGGAGAAGTCTGCTGCGCCATGTGGTCACCTCGGGGCAGGGGTTGAACTCTTCCTGAAGTGGCTTTAGCCCCTTAGTGCTGTGCTTTAACCTGCTGTGCCACCAGGGAGGGCCCGGAAGCTATATTTAGAGAAGACAAAAAAAATACTTGCTGCAGATAGTAGCGCAGTGAGCTGGGAAAACGTGACCTTGTTATTCATTCAGAAATCCAGCAAGCATTTGGCGTGCAAATCAGCATGTCCATAGACTGTGGGAAGCTGAGGGAGGAACACGGAGATTTCTGGATTGGAGAAACGTGGCCCCTCCTGGGGAGGAAACCCACCTGCAGTAGAGGAGGCGCGTCTTTGTGAAGTTAAATCATCTGGGAACAAGCCTGAATGCATGGGCTCACCAGCCAGCCAGCCGCACGGCGATCAGAGAGCAGCACAATCTAGGACAGGGGCTGGTAAATCTGTCCTGCCACACACCAGTTACAGCCATGTGCTGCTTAACATTTTCAGTCCCAGGGGCCAGGCATATGACAGGGGTCTTGACAGGCATGGAGGGGCCTACACCACCTCGGTTTGTGCAGCTACTCACCCTGCGAGTGTAGCTTAAGTGATGAGCTCGCCCAGTGACACGTTCCTCAGAACATGTCCCCGTCATTAATGGTGTGTGACTGGAGTACTTTTTAAGCCTTTTCTGACCAGTCTCTGGCACACGCACTCGACTCTGCTCTCGTCTCACGAAAATAGCAGGGGGTGAGGGAGGGCGTACACTGTGTGTGCTGACCAAACTTTGCTCGCAGAAACAGGTGGGGCAGATCGGACTCACTGGCCAAAGCTGTCAGGTTGTGCTCTGTGAGATGCTGAAGTAAAATGAGTCCAGCTCCTGCTTTAAAGGATCATGAGTGAAATGCAGAGGGCTGAGTCCGCGTGGGGCTCCAGCTCAGGCCAGTGGTGGTTTGGGGCATTTGTCGGGTGACCATGTCAGTGTGACTGGAGAAGGCTTCTGGAGTCCTGGGAGAGAAGCAAAGGCTGGGGCAGGTTCTGCCTCTCACCCAGGCTCCTGCTCTTGCTGCCTCCCCTGGCGCCCCGCCCAGCATTCAGCCCCAGAGCTCCTCACAACCCGCCTGTTGCTCCCGGGCACTATGCCCACCCACCACGCTGGGCTGCCCTCGGGCAGTCGCCCCTCTGGCTGCTGCACACAAAGCGCTAGAGAGGCCACGCCAGACCTGCCCTTGATTTCCTCAAAACCCCTAACTGGGATTTTCATTCAAACCCCGAAGACATCTAAGAAGGTTCTTCCCTCTGTGGGGAGTTTGGAGTTCTGCCCCAGAGCCCTGGGCTCTCCTGGGGTCATCAGCTGACGCTCCCAGTTTCTTTCTAGAAGGGTCAACTGTGGGTGGGGAAAAGTGTGATGTAATATGGTATGTTCAGGACAGGAGATAGAAAATATTTCCATCTTGAGAAACTCAGGAAACGGCTGTGTGTAACCCACGTGTCTGATGTTGTTTCAGGTCCAATCCGTGCAGCACGTGTACCCCCCTCAAGTACAGTACGTGGAAGGGGGAGACGCCGTCTACACAAATGGAGCCTTGTACGTTGGTTTCTTCTCCCCTCTGCTCAGAAAGAATCCTCAGAGACCCATAAGCCACATCCAGAACCTTCTTTCACTCCTCTCCCACCTGTGTTCATTTGGGGTTGTGTTTGCACAAACTCCTTTCCCTCTCCTTGGGGGGATGTGTGGAGCTATCAAGGGGGTGGGAGGACTTCACACCCCTGTGGAGATTTCAGAAGTCACAGGCCATTGTTACTTCTAGAAAAGTTAGTCTTAAAACACACACACCCCCTAATCCACCTTCTAAATTTGAAGATGCTTGTCTGCTTTTTCACTTTGACCTTTGTGAACCTCTGGCTTTTAGGATGTTGGAAAAACTGAATTTTCAGTTTGTCGGGGACTTGTAGAGTTTCCTGCTTTTTGGGGTGCTTGGGGCAAAAAGTAATACATTTCTCATGAAGTTCATGGTGGCTGAGACAGGAGTCTGGTTTTTGTTTGGCTTCAGTGACCTCCCTGGAAGCTCAGGGATTGGGCACGTGGGTTTGGTTGTGGTTGTAAGAGCTGTGATTGCTGGAGTTGTGGGAGTTTCTTTCGCACCACACGGACAGTTTCAGTGCACACACGCACACACGAGGGGCAGGGTCGGTACATGTCTACTTCCTGGCTTTGCTTGTACTGCGGTTCCACCTTGCTGTCACCTCGGGGACAGGGCAGGAGAGCCCGGGCCTCGGGCCCCTGCGCCACCCAGAGGGGCCTTCCCTCAGGACGCGACCCTGGCCTCCAGTTACCACTAAGGAACCCAGCCCTAACACAGCCTCTGCTCCACTGTGGCAGGGGCACACATGCCTGACTGGGTCGCACTTTCTTTCACTTGGCCGATTTGTTGCACTTTTTACTGATCGAAGGTTTGCGCAACCAGTGTCGGGTGGTCGGCCCTGCCATTTCCCAGCGGCCCGTGCGTTCTTGCTGGCTCTGAATCACATTAATTAAGGCACATCCTTTGGGTTCCTGTCGTTTGGCTTGGTTGTCGGTGTTTGCTTTGAGATGTCATGCCGTTGTACGCGCCACAGCTGACGGAGAGCGACCATAACTTTGAGAGGCCTGGGAAACCCAAGCATTGCTGTGACTTGCGTATCGCCTGATTAGCTTTGTTGCGGTGGCCTCGAACTGAGCCCGTACCTTCAAGGCGTGCCTGGATGAAACAGATATTTTGGTATCGCTTAGAAATTCTTTTTATTATGCCATTTCACTTTTCTAAAACGTTTTGTTTTGAAAGAGTCAAACTCATAGGAAGCTACAGACTTAGCACACAGAGCTCTGTGTGCCCTTCACTCAGCCTCTCTCAGCAGGGACATCTGGAACTATCTTCCAGTATCAAAACCAGGACACTGACCCTGGGACAGTATGCTAACTGGCTACTGGCCTTGTTCACTTCACCAGTCCTTCTACGTCTCTGTGGGCACACGTGTGGGTAGTTTTATCCGATGTGTAGTTCTCATGTAGCCACCATAAGATCCAAAAGTGTTCCTTCTCCACAAGGAGCCCCCCCACCCAGGTGACCCCTTGCTGTACTTGGAATTTTTAAAGATGAGTTCTCCACGAGTCAGCCTGTAACCCTGAATATGTCAGAGATGATCACCTTGACGCTGCGTGGCCTGAGTGTCTCAAAGCTAACTCACTCCAGATGCTTGGTGTTGGGGCTGCAGTTTCTCCATGAGGCTCTGCTGGACTCCTTGGAGACTCAGAGGAAGTACTTTCTCTCTTTCTGACAGACGGACGGCCTACACCTACAACCCCGAGCCTCAGATGTACGCCCCCAGCAGTGCGGCTTCTTACTTTGAGGCCCCGGGCGGTGCCCAGGTGACCGTGGCAGGCTCCTCCCCGCCCGCAGTCCCCTCCCACAGCATGGTGGGCATCACCATGGATGTCGGAGGGAGCCCCATCGTCTCCAGCGCGGGAGCCTATCTCATCCACGGGGGGATGGACAGCACCAGACACTCCCTGGCCCACACTTCCCGGTCATCACCAGCTACGGTATGTACGAGGCTCCTGGGGGCAGCAGGTTAGACCCACAGTAGACTCCACAGCAACAGGGATGGTGAGTAGAAGGCAGCCTGGAGCCCCGCCAGCTTCCGTGGGATGGCGTGACCCAAGGCAAATCTCGATGGACCTCAATTCTTCCAATGGTAAAAAGAGGGCTCTTGGGAAATTGTGTAGGAATAAAGCATCTCCATGCTGAGCGATGCTGAGCTGTGATTGGTGTCCTTGGTATCATCGTTTTTATCAGCCACATAAAGACATCTGCCAGTCTACCCATATGAAAATTGGAGTGAGCTGAACGAGAGGAACTTTCCCTGTAGAGTGATGCCAAATCATTCCTCCTGTGTGCCCATCCAAAGCAGTTACAAGTCACACACCACCTGATAACAAATGCTTCATCAAGTGATCCATCATCAGGGTTACAGCAGCCTCACTGGGTCAGCCACAACACACAGAGGCTCCTGGGACCAGCTGTTTACGCCTTCTGTTGCTGACTGACATGTTGTCGGGCAGCACGGGGCTATTCTGATGGAAAACGTATCTGCTTTTAACACCACATTTCCCATGTTTTATTTTTTAAATGAACATTTAAAAATTTAAATGAAAACATTTCAGTGAACAAAATGAAATTTTTTAAGTGAAAAATGTTGAGCGTTTGCGGTGTACTGTCCAATGAGTTTCAGCTCTTACAGATCTGTGTCACTCTCGTCACATTCAGGGCTCAGAGTGGGTACATCCCCCTGAAAAGCCCCCTCGTGAGGTTTCTTTGTAGCCATGACCTTTCACTCCCTACAACCTCTGGCAAGCACTGATCCATTCTCTGTCACTGTGGCTTTGATTTTTTGGGAATGTCATATAAATGAAATCATGCAATAGGTAATCTTTGAGACCTGCTTCTTTCACTCAATATGGCTTCTTTAAGATCAGTTTGAGCTGTTGCATGAGCCAGTAGTTTTTCTTTAATACTGAGTAGTGTTCCATTATACAACAGTTTGCTTCTCCACTCACCAGATAAGGGCCATATGGGTGGATTTCAGGTTTTGGTGATCATGACTAAAGCTACTATAAGCACTCACATACAGGTTTTTGTATGTACTTGTGTTTTCCTTTCTTTTGAATAAATACCTACGATTGGGATTGCTGACTCCCATGGTAAGTGTGTTTAACTTTATCAGAAACCACCAGCCATTCCCCGAGTGGTTGTTTAATTTTGCATCCCCCCCAGTGATGTATAAGAGTTTCTATTGCTCTACCTCATTGTCAGCACTTAACATTGTCAGCATTTTTTTATTTTAGCCATTCTAATAGGTGTGTAGTGGTATCTTGTTTTTGTGGTTTGCGTTTTCTTACTCATTGGTGATGATAAGCAGCTTTCCATGTGATTATTTTCTTTTTGTAACTGTTCTTCAGTAAAGTGTCAGTTCATGTCATTTACCTATTTTTTAACTAGGATATTTGTTTTCTTACTATTGACTTTTGAGAATTCTGTATATATTCTGAATACAAGCCTACTGTCAAATATGTGACATTTTCTCCTAGGCTTATTTAGCATGTCTCTTCATTCTCTCAAGATATCTTTTGCAGAGAAAAATAAGATTTTTTGATAATTTTGATCAAATCCAGTTTATCAATTTTTCTTTTTTGGACTATGCCAAAGAACTCCAGGTCATGAAGATTTTTTCCTATGTTTTATTTGAAAAGTGTATTATAGTTTTGCATTTACCTGTGATTCACTTTTATATAAGATAAAGGGTTAGGTCAAGGTCTATTTTTATGCATGCTGTACCAACATCATTTGTTAAAAGTACTAACCTTTTCCTCCATTTGATTCTTTTTACACCTTTGTAAAAATTTGACTGTCTGAGTGTATGTGTGGTTCCATGTCAGTATATTCTGTTTTGTTCATTGATCTGTGTGCCTCTCCCTTCATCATTTCCACTCTGTCTTAATTCCCATAGCTTTGGAATAAGTCTTAGAGTTACTCTCACTTTATTCTTCACTAATTTGTTGGCTATTTACATAAATGTAGAATTTTCTATATAAATTTTAGGTCAGTTTATCTATATCTATAAAGAAGTTCCTAGTAGGACTTTCATTAAATAGCATTAAACTTGTACCTCAATTTGGGGAGATGTGACATTTTCACTATGTTCAGTTTTCTATCCATAAATATGGTATGTTTTCTCCACTTAGCTTCTCTTTGATTTCTTTCATCAACGTTTGTAATTTTTAGTATGCAGTATTTTTAGTATAATTTTTATTTAGTACCAATTTTGTTAGATTTATTTATTTTGTTTTTGGAGTTATAAATGGTGTTCATTTTAATTTCAGGTTCAGGTTCCAGTTGTTCATTGCTAGCATGTGGAAATACTACAGTTGATATTTAGCTCTTGGCCTTGCATCCCGCAACCTTTTCTATTGCTTGCAAATAGGAATAATTTTATTTCTTCATTTCCAAATGGCTTTATTTCTTTTGGCTTTTTGCACTGCCTGGTTCTTGCAGTTTGAAGTTAAATAGGAGTTGAAGTAGGAGAAGGCACCCTTGCCTTGCTCTCAGTCTTAGGGGGAAAGCCTCCAGATTTCCTTACTAAGTACAGTGACAACTGGAGGTTTTTGTAAATGCCCTTTATCGGGTTGAGGGAATTCTTTCTATTTCTAGTTCTGAGAATCTGTTCTAAGTACATGTTGAGTCTTGTCAAATGCTCTTTCTTTATGGATATGATTGTGGGTTTTTTTCTTCTTTAGACTGTTAATAAGGTGGATTACTATTGACTGTCAATTAGAAAATAACTTCTAATTTGATGTGGGACAAGTCTGAAATAGAAGGTGATATTCTAGCCTCATCCCTGTCCTCTGGGTGTGTGTCGGGGTCACCTTGACATCAGAGAGACCCCTTACATCCCTCTGTCTGTATCCAGAGTGCTCCATAGGGTGGACTCCGAGGGCAGGAGAGAAGTCACTAGGTTTCTAGAGGCCATGACAGTGGCCCCAGAAAAGCAAACATGCTATCTCCTCAGAGGGTTAATGGGTGAGCCTACATTTAGAGCTATTATTGATCAGAAAGCATTCTCTACAGACTGATTAAATTTCATGAATATGTTAATAAGGTTCAATGTCAGCAGATGCATCAATTTATAGTTATTTAAAAAAAATAAAATTTACTAAAATCAAATTTACTGAAAGTGGTCACAATCTCTATGGTACATGTCATCTCATTGTAAGTGAAGTGCAGCTCTGACCCCAGGCTACAAGTGCTTGTGGCCTCTCATCTGGGTTGCTCTAGAAGAAATGAGTTTTTTAATTGATTGGAAATCCACAAGTGAGCTGTGTTTACACACCGCTCACTGCACTGAAAGCTCCAGGAGTTATCTCATAAGACTCCGATTGCTGACCTCCAACTGCCTTGTTTTTGGCATGGGAACAGCTCACAAATATGCCTCCAAAATCTGAGGGACTTTCCAGAAGCCAGAAATAGAGATGGTTGTGAGTTTGCAACAGAAATAAAACATGGCTCCTGCATCTGATGCTTGACATCTGCTAGGTTTTTTATGTCAGATTTTGTAGTTAAACCTGAAAACAGAGCGTGAAGACCAGAGTTGAAGACTCACCTCACAAACTCAAGGAGTGACTTTGGGCTTTTGGTGACAAATTTTCTTGTCTTTATTTCTAGTTCAAATGTCATTAGTAGTATAAATCTAAAAAGTAAACTGCCGAAATGTGAGGTTTTGATGTCGCCACTTTTGAAGTGGTGTTTTTGCAAGTTTCTTTGCATAGGTGGTGGCGGCACCTGTGTTTGTTGAGGGGTGTCCCTCAGAAGATGCACCTGAAATTTTAGTCTCTGCTCTGCCTTTAGTGACAACATTAAAGACTGTCATCGTGAAAAATAATCTTGGGCTTATTCTGAAAAGTCTCGATTACTTTACCATGTTTCTGTTCGAAGTGACAGACCCACCTCATGTGTCACGTGCAACCGTGGCTCAGCGTGGCTGGCCTCATAAACCCCGTCTGCCAGTCAGCTGCTCTCCATTCCTGACTTTGTACGCAAAGTAATCTCGGCATCAAGTTTGGTTGGATTCTGGCCCAGAAAGGATGCTAGTGTGGTGACTTACTACACTCTAAGAAGGCCTTGTGATTGGCCTTGTGATTGTCAGGGGTTCATTGCACTGAGGTCCGAGCGGGATGGTAACCTTCGGGGAGACTAGTTCTGGGGATACTGGCTTTCTTTATGCTACGTTTTGTAAATTGTAAGTCTGAAATTATTTCAGATGAGAAGTTCTTCAAAAGCTAATTGATAAATTAAAAAATTGAATTGTTATTGTTTAAACATTTGGAAATGATAAAAAGAACTAAACAACTCAGCTGTTAAAATGATAACCAGAGATCACTTCCGTGAAATCGGAAAGAATGAAAATGGAAAAACTTGATTTTTTTTTTTTTAAAGATTTATTTATTTGTGCATACAGAACTGGGGTACAGGCCAGAGGCTCAGGGGCGGTGAGAGGCTTCACCAGAGACAGAGTGGGGAACAGAACAGGCAGATGGATGAAGTACACTGCTGAGGGGAGCAGCGGGTGGGTCAGGAGAGGTCTGCCACACCATGTGGTCACCTCCGGGGCAGGCGGGAATCGAACTCATGTGGAAGCGGCTTTAGATTCTCAGTGCTGTGCTTTAACCCGCTGCGCCACCAGGGAGGGCCCAAGACTTGATTTTTTTAAATCTATTTTTTTCTTCTATGTGAATATTCTAACCACATGTATGGTTTACTTCATCGATTTTATTGTAAAATTCACACTGCAAAATCCAGCACTTTAAGTGTGTAACAGTGACATTTAATACACTCATGAGCCATGTGTCGCCTCTAGACCTATAGAACTCTAAAAATTAGTTTTGTGATAAAGTCTGACCCTTCTGTACAGGGTAATTCTGTGAGCAACTCAGTTACTCAGTAGAATTATAGGGCACAGTCAACAGGCAGCTGCCCCTTCTGTCAAATC